ATAAGCAGCAATAAAGTCAAGCAGATAATTTTTTCCATGGAAGATCTCTTCACAGGTATCAGATTCCATAGAATGACAAGAAAATAGATATTTGCATAGCCAATGGCTTGTGTTTTAATAATCAGGTGATGGAATCTGTTCTTGTTACCCACAAAATGGACACGTAGACGTGGTTTGGGATCTACCACAGATGTGTTTTTTTTAACTATATTATACACATCAGATTCCCTTTTCCCACAACTCTTAGAGGGAAAAATTTATGGAAAAAAACATTTTTTGGCGCATAACTTAGTATACAGCATAACTTAGCAAAAAGTGAGGCCCTAGGAAATAGTGGTGAAAGGCATAACTTAAATCCAGAAAGCCTTGAGGGCAAGAGAGAAAGACACAGAGGCTCCCTGGGTAAGCAAGGTATTATTACAGCACTTCACAGATAAAGAAACCAAGGCTCAGCAAAGTATGTATCTAGTTCAGTATCACACAGCTCATAATTGGTAGTATGGAAATTGAAACCCAGGTCCGTTTGCCTCCAAAGCCCAGGCTGTTAAGAACCATTTGATCACAACAGATAGGTCCCAGGTGATACTGAATGCTGCTGATCTTGGGACCACACTTTGAGAACTACTCTTCATAAAAGTCAACAGCTGTCAATAAGTAGCCCAATAGTGAAAACAGGTGCTGAGATTTGCAAGGCCGTTTCACAGATAAGTTACATACAGTATAATCAAGATTCCCGGAACAAAGGCAGTGTTGCTGTGTTATCAAAAACGCTGCATTGAAAGAAGCAGTAGGTAAAGACAGGGTTGACCAGAAGACTCTCTGCCACAATATTTATCTAGAAATCCTTAGTTGGCAACAAAGCTGTCAAACTAACAAGAAATGTCCGCTATGTGATGAAAACAAGTCCAGAGGTGGGGCCAAGATGCCAGCTAGAAGCAGTGGTGATCGGAGGCGCCAATAATAAAAAAAAAAAAAAAAAAAAAAAAAAAAAAAAAAAAAAAAAAAACCATAGTAAGCGTGTGAATCCTTCACCTGCAACTGAGGTATTCAGGTTCTCTCATCGAGTTGACTAGAAGGCTGACCCACGGAGGGAAGGAAGACAGCGGTGTGGTGCAGTGGCTCGGCTGAGAACCACACAGGGAAGGGGAACCCTTTCCCCCCAGCCAGGGGAGGTGGTGAGTGAGCCCGCCCCCCAGCCAGGAAAACTGCTTTTTCCATGGAACTGTGCGACTCACAGGTCGGAAGATGCCACTGTCAAACTCACGCCACCAGGGCCCAATATCCCAACCCAGAAAGTATAGATTCTTACGGCCTCTCAGCTGGAATCTGCTTAAGCCTACTGAACTCGGAAGGGGGCGGGGGTCGGCGACCAGCACTGGCTGCCACTGCCTGCTGTCTAAGCCAGTTGGGCTCCTTGTGGGAGGGGCAGCAGTCAGCACTGGGACTCACAACTGCCTAACAAGCAAAGCTCCCGGGGCGCGGAAGGGCGGCACCCATTTTTATAGCTCCAGGCTGCTCCTTTCCCCTGCTGGAGTCAGGGAGGCTGGATGGCTTGGTCCCAAGGCTTGTCCCCACAGCCCAACACACGAGCTGTAGCAGTCAGAGCCCACAGTGCTTCTTCAGGCCTAACCCTGATCCATCCTTCCTCAGTGGTGGGGGAGGGGCTTTCCTACAGTATCTTCAGTAACTCCAGCCAGAGGCTCAGGGACAGAATTCTGATCTTACTGGGCCTGAGCACCTAGGCGGAGGGGTGGCTACAGTCTCTGTGGACCAGCAGACTTAGCCACTCATCCTGGTAGTTCTGAGGAATCACTGGCAACCCAGACGAGTGGGTTCCCCCAAGTAAAACACAGCCTCTCCACCAAGGGACAAAGGGCTTCCTCACACCATGCTGCTTCCAGTGCCACAACTGGGCGAGACCCTGCAACAGGGGTTGTCAGACACCCTCTACAGGAGTGATCCTAGTGGCATCAGTTTGGTGCCCCTCGAGGTCAGAGGTCCTAGGAGAAGGAGCAGGCACCCATTTTTGCTGCTCTCTAGCCTCCTTGAGTGACATCTCCAGGCACAGGAGCGAATCAGATGAATAAGGCCTGAAGCGAACCCCCATCAAACTGCAGCAGCCCTACAGAAGAGGGACCTGACTACTGAAAGAAAAACAAACAAGCAGAAAGCAACAACAGCATCATCAGCAACAAAAAGGCCCCCACAAAAACCCCATCCAAGGGTCAGCAGCCTCAAAGACCGAAACTAGACAAACTCATGAAGATGAAAAAAAATCAATGGAAAAAATGCTGAAAACTCAAAAGGCCAGAATGCCTCTCTCCTCCAAATGATTGCAACATCTCTCCATCAAGGGCACAGAACTGGACCGAGGATCAAATGGACGAATTAGACACAAGTAGGCGTCAGAAGATGGGTAATAAAAGACTATGATGGGCTAAAAGGAGCATCTTCTTGTTAGCGATTCCTCTAACATTTTACCAAGGTTCTTAGCTTCTTTGCTAAGAACCTTGATAAAATGTTAGAGGAATCGCTAACAAGCAAAGAACCTTGATAAAATGTTAGAGGAATCGCTAACAACAATAACCAGCTTAGAGAGGAACATTAAGGACCTGATGGTGCTGAAAAACACAGCACGAGAACATCATGAGGCATACATAAGTATCAACAGCTGAATCAACTTAGCGGAACAGAGGATATCAGAGTGTGAAGACCGCCTTACTGAACTAACACAACAAGAGAGAAAAAAGAATGAAAAGGAATGAATAAAGCCTCCAAGAAATAATGGGACTTCATAAAAAGACCGAACCTATAATTGATTGGAGTACCAGAAGGAGTCAAGGAGAATGGAAACCAACTGGAAAACACACTTCAGGGTATTATCTAAAACTTCCCCAACCTAGCAAGACAAGCCAACATGCAAATTCAGGAAATACAGAGAACACTATTAAGATACTCCATGAGAAGATCGACCCTAAGAAAACAAAGTCCGTTAGGGGTAGATAACTGAAAAAAACTGTCTGAAGAGAGACCTGGGAATTTATTCTAGGTTTGGGTTCTATGTCATATCAGCCTTTTAAGAACCATTAGTTATCCTGGAGGCAGTGTGAGGCAGGAGCAAGTGTGCTGGCCTTAGAGTCAGGCTGTGGGGTTGGAGACCTTAGGCAAATTAATGATTCAGGCCTCAGTTTTCCCATGTATAAAATTAGGATAGTACTGGTTCTTACGTCACAGGGTTGTTGCAAAGATACATGAAGTAAGGTGTGAAAAGAGCTTTGGATAGTAGGCACCATGTAGTAAGTATCCAGTGAATGTTAGCTGTTAGGATTACCATGTCCCACTGCTGGGTCAAGCCATGAGATATGAGGCTTTTCCAATTTGCTTGATGATGGTTTGTACCAAATTCGTTTTCTGTTGCAAGCAGAGAAATTTGATCATCAGTGTTTCTGGGCAGTCTATAATGTGCTGTGCTATCAGATACATGTGAATCATAGATGGTAGCATTCCTACACACTGGAAAGTAGTCTGCAAAAAAAAAAGACTTTGAATTTTCTTTTTGCTCATCTTATGTCACCCCCTAAATTCCAAAGTGCATTATGAACAACATGTGTACATTTTCTCATTTAGTTCCCATGAAAGTAGTTGTTTCTATTTAAAACATCTGAAAGTTTGAAAATCTAAAATCTGAAATTTAAGAAGTAATATGACAACAAATTGATAAGCCAGAGTTTGAACCCAGATACATTTGAGACCCAAGGTTATACTGCCTTGAAATTTATAAATTGAAACATGAGAGAATATGTATAATGTCTTTTTTTTTTCAAGAAGAGAGAGGTTTTGATATCCAAATGCTCATTCACAGATATAATATTTTATTTCCAATGTTTTTACCTTAGAAGTATTTATCTGTAATCCTAGCAATTTGGGAGGCCCAGGCGGGCAGATCACGAGGTCAAGAGATCAAGACCATCCTAGCCAACATGGTCAAACCCTGTCTCTACTAAAAATACAAAAATTAGCTGGGCATGGCTGTGAGGACCTATAGTCCCACCCAGCTACTCAGGAGGCTGAGGCAGGAAAAGCTTGAACTAGGAGGGTGGAGGTTACAGTGAGCTAAGATCGTGTCATTGCACTCCAGTCAGGCAATAGAGTGAGACTCCATCTCAAAAAATAAATAAATAAATAAAATANAGTATTTATCTGTAATCCTAGCAATTTGGGAGGCCCAGGCGGGCAGATCACGAGGTCAAGAGATCAAGACCATCCTAGCCAACATGGTCAAACCCCGTCTCTACTAAAAATATAAAAATTAGCTGGACATGGTGCTGCGTACCTATAGTCCCAGGTACTTAGGAGGTTAAGGCAGAAAATAATTGCTTGAACTAGGGAGGTGGAGGTTACAGTGAGCTAAGATCGTGTCATTGCACTCCAGTCAGGCAATAGAGTGAGACTCCATCTCAAAAAATAAATAAATAAATAAAATAAAAGAGAGAACTTATGGGATAATGGAAATATCAAAAGTTTCCATAAATAAAATATATAACAGCTAAACCTTGTAGAGTTAAGACAATTTACTAATTACATCTGCTTCCTATGCAGTAGAATAGAATAGAATAGAATAGAATAGAATATCCAAAAATCTGGGGAGGAAAAACCACCTTAAATTTAAAAGAAAATTAGTAAAGAGTTCAGATGAACTTGCAGCAGATACTAAGCCTGAGGCATCCACCCAGGAAGTTTGAGTATTTTGATACTTAGTAGTTTCCAGAACATAGATGATCTCACCTGCCCTGTACTGAAACTAAGCACTCTTTTCCCTCTTTTGGGAAAACACCACCGATTTCCACAAGCAGCTGGTTCCTGTCTTGTTTTGTCTGCCTTTCGCTACCTGTGCAGGTAGCCTGGTCCCCACTTGCAATGTGGGTCTATAAGAGAACACTGTAGTGAACCATCTTGCCCTAAGGCATTGCCCATCACACACGCCTTCCTATAAGGCATACCTTACTGTTTAGGATCTGGAAAACCCTCTGCTGGAGTGTCTGGCCAGCCTTAGGCCTCACAAGGATGTAAATGACTTTCAGGTCCGGGCTGGTGCGAAACAGCTTCTCCATCAGCACTTTGCCCATGAAGCCTGTGGCCCCTGTGATGAGAATGGACTTGCCGCCATAGAAAGCTGCGATCATGGACATGATTCCTCCCTTTCTCTTTTATAGCTCCTGAAAGAGTTTCCTGAAAAGGAAGAGAAATAACAAAAGATTACATCCTCCGAAGTTCTAATACTCAAAGTCACTTAAAATGTTTCTAGTGCTTTCAAGAGTTTTGAATGCAGAAAAAAATAGGTCAGAGAGTGAGAGCATCGTGGCTTTTAGGCAATACGACTCATTCCAATCAATATTTATTGAGTTCTGTCTACATGCTAGACTTTATGCCAGGAACTGTGAGGAAGAAATGAGAAAGACATGGCTCTCAAGGAATTGCTTGCAGTCTAATGGAGGAGGCAGACAGATAAAGAGATTGTTAAATAAAATATAGTAAGTGCTGAAACAGAGGGAGACATGAGAGGGGTATATAGCCACATCTGGAAATTTCAAAGTGTCTGTGGGTGGTGACATCTGAGCTGAAACTTGAAGACAGTGGGGTCAGGGTGACCCAAGCCAAGGAAAGAGCAAGGGCAAAGTTGCAGTAGTGTGGCATGGCATGCTTAGGGGAAATAAAGAAATGCAGTGTTACAGGACATACATGGGAAGGCTAGAACTGGCCCTGCAGCTTGTGAAACCAAAGCTTAGAATAGTTATTACATTTTTAAAAAATATGATGTGATTAGTGTTTGAGTTTCATATTTAGAGAAAACATTGGAACAAATAATATAGTTAGGTTATTCTCTTCCTTGAGTGGAAAATGGGTCTAGGTTGAGTGCCACCTTTTTCCCCCTCATATGCTGCTCATGGGGTGGAGACACTGAAAAGCAATGGTTGAGGAGGCCGAGGAGGGAAGCCACAGCCCATAGGCTTTGGTGTGCCCTGAAATAGCATGGGCTACAATGCAGGGCTTGGTTTGTCCACATAAGTCCTGTGTTTGCAGAAGTGCTGAGAAAAAACAAATCTGGTGGTGGAAGCCAGATGCAACCCTTGCTGCAGAAATGCAACATGAGGTGTTTTGTCTTTCAGTTCAGGTTGGAGATAATTGATGGAAGACAGCAGCAGAGAGTTTTGAACTAAACAGTGCTAGAGGTCGGGGGAAGATCTTCCTTTCTGTCCACTCACTTTGTCAACCGTAGAAAGTTTCCAACTGCCTGTGTGGATGGGGTTTGGGTGGATCCTGCAGAACACAGCTCCAGGGACTGGCCCTGACATCAGGGCTTATAAAGAAGAAAAAAACAACTAAGCATCAACACTCTGCTCTCCAACTCTGGCCCAGAATGTTCTGCTAGTAACCCTTGCAGTAACAATGACTCTTCATAGTCATAATTTGTATTTTGAAGATCTTGAGGCCCTGTTCTTAGGCAGAATTCTTTGTCTTTGGAGGATTATTTACTAAAAAAAACATTTTTGAGCACCTACTATTCCAGACACTATGGTAAGTTCTAAAGACATGCAGATGAGCAAAGCAGACTGGTCCTTGCTGTCACTCTAGCAGGGGAGGCCAGCAATGCAATGCAAAGTATGCAAAGTCAAATAAACATATAAACAAGATTATCACAGACTGTTGCACATGCTATGAAGTAAGTAAAACAGGGATCAATGACAGAAATCACATCCAATGTTCAGTGCGATTCATTTCAGGAAATCTGGATTTCAAATCACGTTGGCTGTGTTCACTGACTTACTGTTTAAGCTCCCTTGTTGAGGGTGGATGAGAGAAATATTATGATGAAGAACACGTTTGGATCTTGTGCAAACAGCCAAGTAATGATGTTTTTGTCATGTTATGTAATGTTACGTGAGTATATTAGAATTCACCCAGTGACTTTCTCAAGAATTTAGCACTTGGAAAAAGTACTGAATATTCTTTCCTTGTTTTAAGCTTGGAAAATTAGTGTCCCCAAGTTAGGAAGGCAGAATAGCACCCAAGATTAGCATTCAAGTTCTAAGCAAGACTGTCTGAAGGAAAATCCCAGTTCTACCACTTATTAGCTGTGTGACCTCAGGAGATCACTAATCTCTCTGTGTTTCAGTTACTCAACAGGAAAATATGGATAACAAAAGTATCCACTTAATAGTGCTTTGGTAAGGATGAAATGAGTGAATACATGCAAAACCCTTAGCAATATACATTGCTTATAGCACAGACTCAAATATTGGCTATTAGCATAGTGGCTGGTTTTACATTTTTCCTTCTTAATGGTTTCTAGCTTTACTTTTAGGCATTTATTTTAAATGTCCTGTCTCATACATTTTGTTTGCCCATTTCTTTTGTAAGTGAGAGGAGATAATTTAAAACTCAATCAATCATAACAGCCAGATATTCTCACCAAATGTAACTGTACTTCATGATAAATTTTGCCTATTTCCTTAAAAATGTTGAGGTACCTTATTCCTTTAATAGGATATTAGGCATACATAAATGTGGTTGGCACAAAAACAGAAGGAAAATTAAGTTTGAAGAGGATGACTTCCCAACCTCATTTGTTCTGAAGATGTCACATGCTTCTCTTATCCAATTTGTTTTTATTTTTGCAAATGGCAAGAGATAGGTGTCTAGTTTCATTCTTCTGCATACAGTATATATATCCAGTTTTCCCAGCACTATTTATTTCCCCAGTGTATGTTCTTGGCACCTTGGTCAAAAATGAATTTACTATAGGTGTGTGGATTTGTTTCTAGATTCTCTATTCTGTTCCACTGGTCTATATGTCTGTTTTTATGATAGTACCAAGTTGTGTTGCTTACAATAGCTCTGTAGTACAATTTGAAGTCAGGCAATGTGATTCCTCCAGTTTTATTCTTTTTGCCCAGGATAGCTTTGGCTATTCTGGGTCTTTTATGGTTCCATATAAATTTTAGGATTACTTTCTCTATTTCTGTGAGAAATTTCATTGGTATTTTGATAAGGATTGCATTGAATCTGTAGATTGCTTTGGGTAGTACAGAGATTTTAATAATATTGATTCTTCCAACTCATGAACATGGACTATCTTTCCATTTTTGTCTGTGTCCTTATTAATTTCTTCTATCAGTGTTTTATAGGTTTTATTGTAGAGATCCTTTATTTCATTGGTTAATTTGTATTTAATTTTTTATTTGTAGCTATTGTAAATGGAATTACCTTCTTGACTTCTTTTTCAGAGTGTTCACTGTGGGCATATAATAGAAATGTTGCTGAATTTTGTATGTTGATTTTGTATCCTGCAACTTTACTGAATCTGTTCATCAGTTCTAACAGTTTTTTGGTGCAGCATTTAGCTTTTCAAGATATAATATCGTATCATATGCAAACAAGGCTGATTTGACTTCTTCCTTTCCAATTTAGATGCCTTTTTTTTCTTCGTTCTCCCTCTCTCTCTCCTTTCTCTCTCTCCTTATTTTTTTTGAGACAGGATCCCACTATGTTTCCCACACTGCACACTGGTCTCAAACTGCTGAGCTCAAGCAATTCTCCCATCTTGCCCTCCCAAAGTGCTAAGATTACAGGCATGAGCCACTGCACCAGGCTGATTTCTTTCTCTTGTCTGATTACTCTAGTTAGGACTTCCAGTACTATGTTGAATAACACTGGTGATAGTGGTCATCCTTTCATCCTTGTTTTGTTCCAGATCTTAGGCTTTTAGTTTTTCCCCTTTGACTATGATACTAGCTGTGGGCCTTTATTATGTTGAGGTATGTTCCTTCTATATCCTGTTTTTTGAGGATTCTTATCACAGAGGGATGTTGAATTTTATCAAATGCTTTTTTCAGCATTAATTGAAATGATCATATGGTTTTTGTCCTTCATTCTGTTGATATGATGCCATATATTCATTGATTTATATTGATTGATTTGCATATGTTGAACTGTCCTTGTCTCTCTTAAATAAATCACATGTGATCGTGGTGAATGATCTTTTTAGTGTGTTCTTGAACTTAGTTTGCTGGCATTTTGTTGGAGATTTTTGCCTCAATGTTCATCAGGGATATTGGCCTAAAGTTTTCTTTCTTTCTTTTTTTCCTTTGATGTGTCTTTATCTGGTTTTGGTACCAGGGTAATATTGGTACTATAAAATAAGTTTGGAAGTATTCCTTCCTTCTCTGTTTTTTGGAATACTTTGAGTAGGATTAGTATTAGTTTTTCTTTAGATGACTGGTAAAATTCAGCAGTGAAGCCACCAGGTAATGGGCTTCTCTTTGCTGGGAGACTTTTTATTATGGCTTCAATCTCATTACTTGTTATTGGTCTATGCAGGTTTTGAATCTGTTCATGGTTCAATTTTGATAGGTTGTACATTCCTAAACATGTTTCAAGTAAATTTTCAATTGCTTCATTGACCCACCGGTCATTCAGGAGAATATTATTTAATTTCTATATGTTTGTATAGTTTCCAAAATTGGTCTTGTTGTTGATTTCTAGTTTTACTCCATTGTGGCCAGAGAAGATGCTTGATATTATTTCCACTTTTTAAATGTTTTAAGACTTGTTTTGTGACCTAATATATGGTCTATCCTTGAGAATGATCTATGTTCTGAGGAGAAGAATGTGTGTATTCTGTAGCTGTTGGATGTGTTCTGTAAATATCTATTAGGTCCATTTGATCTATAGTGCAGATTAAGTCCAATGTTTCTTTACTGAGTTTCTGTCTGAGAAGTGTGTTCAGTGCTCAAGGTGGGGTGTTGAAGTCTCCAGGTATTATTGTATTGAGGTCTGTATTTCTCTTTAACTCTAATAATATTTGCTTTATGTATCTGGGTGCTCCAGTGTTGGGTGCATATATATTTATATTATATCCTGTTGCTGGTTTGACCTCTTTATCATTATATAATGACAATCTTTGTCCCTTCTTATAGTTTTTGTCTTGAAATCTATCTTGTTTGATATAGCTATTAGTGTTCTTTTTTGGTTTTTATTAGCATGGAATATCTTTTTCCATCTCTTTATTTTCCATGTATGTGCATCTTTATAGGTGAAGTGTGTTTCTTGTGGGCAACAGATCATGAGGTCTTGTTTTTTCATTCATTTATTCACTGTATAACTTGACTTGAGAGTGTAGTCCATTTACATTCAATGTTATTATCTATAAGTAATGACTTCCTCCTGCC